AATTAGTACTCCCAAGCATTTTCTTTTTGCATACTAAAGTTACAGTCCTAGAAAAATAACTAAGAAATTTCCCAAGATTTAGAAGTGTAGAGATTGAATAGATGTTTTATAAAGTCAATACATAGAATAAATATAGATCACACATTATTATTTATGAATAAAATTATATATATATATATATATATGTATATATATTCTAAATGGGTAATGCTATGAAGGACTATTTGTTTTTTGTAAGTTTTTGTAAGTATGTAGCAATGTTGTCAGTTCGGTTGGTTAGTTAATTTATACAATTTTCTAATAATTAGTAGGCAACTTTTTAATTTTAATGATTTAATAGTTATCTTATCTTAATAAAATCAAATACAATGCACTCAATAATGCAAAATAATAATATGATCACCACTTGAAAGTGGCAAATCATTCAAGAAGATATGATTTGAAGGCAAATATTTACCAACAAAACATTGACAACCCTAGAGGATAGGTAAGCATCAATGTTACATGAAGTGAGGAAATGATAGGGGGGAAAATGAAAGAAGGGAAGAAGATCAAACTTTAATTTGAAATCCTCATTATGTTGAGTGCATAAACATCAACTTTGGAGAATAGTTGAAATTGATGGTTCACCTAATAGAAACTTTTGTTAGGGAGCTTATTAATTATATGTTCCTTCACAAAAATGGGATCTCTATTTATTTGCAAATATAGTTAACTTTATCTTATGTCCAACGATAAAATGTTAGCTACTATGGATTAGATGTTACAATTTGAATCCCATGAACTATGTAAAAAATTGTAAACAAGTTAAATGTATTTAGCCGGTGCAAAAGAAAACACAACACCAATACCCTTTGCTTTCTTTTTCATTCTTGATTCTTTGTTTCTTTTTAAAGGGAAATTTAAATTCAATATACATTTTAAAAAATAATTAAAGATAAGTGAGAAAGCTTATAATTATTAATAATTAAATTCTTAAATTTTCCATCAACTTGTAATAATTTTTTGAAAATACATCAATGGAGATTGGGATTCTTCCACCATTTACTCGGAGAAGAAAGTTTCCTGAAATCAAATAAGATATTGCAAAATACCTTCAAACAAAGGATTACTTTAAACAAGCAAGTAAAACACTACTAGATTTGGGCAAGAAAAAAATTGATGTAATTTGCTGTTTGAAACTTAATATATATATACATATATTTGATTGAGTGTAATTTATTGTCTAAACGTTAAATCTTTCCATGCAATTTGTTATCTGAGGTTGTGTTCACTAAGACCTAAACAGTAAATTTTTTTTTGAACAAAATTATAAATAAAAAACCAACAAAAAAGTGTTTAGTAAAAATTTTCAAAATTTAAAAAGTAACTTTTTGCAAGGAAGTTAAGCTTGTGATGCTATTTTTTAAATCAATTTTTTTTTTTTTTTTTTTTTTTTTTTTTTTTTTTTTTTGAGGCTGGAAATAAATGCTATCAAATAGATTAGTTAAGGGTTAGTTAGAAGTTCTTCTTTGAAGTTGCTTTTTAGCATATGATTGATATATCCTAAGGTTTTTGGCAGCTCATATTTGAGCTGCCTCCATGAATCTCTACCAGCTCCTACCTAAAAATGGATTATAAGATCTTATTTTATTTTATTATATATATGTAAATTTGATGTTAATTCTAACCCCACTCATATTCAATAATGCTCATGGTGGCCAAAAGTTTAGCAATTAGATAAACATAATTACCAACTGATTACAAACAATTTGTCACGATTTGCAAATTGATTGCATCAACTTACGAATCATTAATTTGATCAATTTTTTGTTTAATGAATTGTACCAAATATGACATATACATAGTGAAAATTACAAATCAGTGCATATGATTAAAAATAATTATAAACACATGGGGATGCAATTATTTTTGTGTAAATAAATAAATACAACAAAAATTGTACTCCAAGAAGATTCTCACCCTTTGGTAAAAATTGTCACACTTCCCACTTATTGTAATTTTCAGTGTACATATGGTCCAATCCAAGTCAATTAATAAAGATATATTATGATTCATATCCAGTTTTTATAAATGATTCGTGAATATTGTATACTCATTTCTAATTTACAATAATCAAAACATATTTTCATAATCAATTCCTCAATAGTTGGTATAGTGGGAATCCTATTGGGGAAGAATCAGAAAAAAGTTTTTCTTTATTTTAATTTTTAATTTTTCAGGTAACCTCAAGGGTAGCAAACCTACACCAAATGGAATCTCATTCTTTTAATAAGAAAAGAATTGTACTCTCTACTTAGGTGGATTCTGCAATATCTTCCTTATAATGCTTTGCCAAGTTGGAAATTAAAACATCAATTAACTTTGGAGCCACATGCTTTAGGCATCTTCTTGAACAAACTTTTTTAGTCTTAATTAAATGAATGGATATATGTGGATTTGATTCTAATTATTTTGATTTTTTTAATGTCTTTTGTAATTATTCTGTTAAGAATTTTTTTTCCTGTCATTGTAATGCAACAAAGTTAAATTTGCTTTGGCAACCAAGACAAAGAGGATTGATGCATAAAGGTTGCTTTTAGAGTTTGTTTATTTACCAAAGTGGCCATTCCAAAAGTATGAAGTACTTGATTTTTGTTCAAAATAAATGTAATGAAATTTCTCTTAGTTTTTTTTTTTTTTTTTTTGATAAGCAAAAAGAACTTTGTTGATGAATAAAGCAAAACAAGCATAAAAATTACATCAATAAAGAGGGAAGTGCAAAAAGTATCACCGCTAACCTAAACAATCCCAACTAGGTTGGCACCGCTAAGGAAGCAAAATCATCTGCTAGCACTTGACCCCTAGATTGGCAAGAAAGCAATCCAAAGAAAGTAAGATATAGAAAAGAAAAACCTCTGAACAGCAGCAATGCTGCATTCACCTTCCCAGATTCACATCTCACAAATAGCCACCTAAACATTGTCTAAACAGAAACTTTGCTGCCATGAACTCCTTACAAAACTTCACCTAAATTCACTCCATGCCTCACAGCATCAGCAAAACAGATCATAGCAGCCACCAGCTAGGAGCCTGATCCATTAGACCTAATCCAATCCTCACAGCAGCAGCTACCATTTAGACTTGAGCTTGATCCTTCAACCTCCAAAACTAATATAAACTACACAGTAGCCAGAAAAGTATGAATAATCCTCAAACAATTCCAACTTTCTCCAATCCAGCAGCAGACCTCCAATACAGCACACCAAAGCATCATTCCAACAATTGCAAAAAGGCCAAAATACAACAGCGGACTTAAGCCTATTCCTTGATCCCATATAGCAGCAGCAGAGCACATATATAGCAGAGTAGAGCAAATTATAACCTATTCCTGAAACAACATCGGATCCTAAACTAAGAAATCAACAAACACACCCAGATCCCAGATAACAAAACTGATACACAATAACACCATCTGAACAATAAAAAAACCAATGCCAACTACTGCAGCTTCACCCCACACCATAACAACAACCACAATTCCACTTCACCATCTACTACTATGACACCAGTAACAGCCTAACAACTGGACCCAGCTGCACTTTTAACCCAAACACTGTCTATAACGCCCTCAAAATAACAACATTAAACCCATTAATATAGACATGCATTGATATACAAAGCTTCACATTCTTCTATTCATCAGAGTACTTCATTACAAAAGTATTACATGTTAACAACAAAAGCAAATGCCCTACGGGCTTACAGCTTTCCAAGTTAACACTTGGTTACAAAAGAGAGTACTATTTAGGCATCTTCTTGAACAAACTTTTTTAGTCTTAATTAAATGAATGGATATATGTGGATTTGATTCTAATTATTTTGATTTTTTTAATGTCTTTTGTAATTATTCTGTTAAGAATTTTTTTTCCTGTCATTGTAATGCAACAAAGGTAAATTTGCTTTGGCAAGCAAGACAAATAGGATTGAAGCATAAAAGTTGCTTTTAGAGTTTGTTTATTTACCAAAGTGGCCATTCCAAAAGTATGAAGTACTTGATTTTTGTTCAAAATAAATGTAATGAAATTCCTCTTAGTTATTATTTTTTTTTATAAGCAAAAAGAACTTTATTGATGAATAAAGCAAAACAAGCATAAAAATTACATCAATAAAGAGGGAAGTGTAAAAAGCATCACCGCTAACCTAAACAATCCCAACTAGGTTAGCACCGCTAAGGAAGGCACCGCTAAGGAAGCAAAATCATCTGCTAGCACTTGAACCCTAGATTGGCAAGAAACCAATCCAAAGAAAGCAAGAGATAGAAAAGAAAAACCTCTGAACAGCAGCAATGCTGCAATCACCTTCCCAGATTCACATCTCACTAATAGCCACCTAAACATTGTCTAAATAGAAACTTTGCTGCCATGAACTCCCTACAAAACTTCACCTAAATTCACTCCATGCCTCACAGCATCAGCAAAACAGATCACAGCAGCCACCAGCTAGGAGCCTGATCCATTAGACCTAATCCAATCCTCACAGCAGCAGCTACCATTCAGACTTGAGCTTGATCCTTCAACCTCCAAAACTAATATAAACTACACAACAGCCAGAAAAGTATGAATAATCCTCAAACCATTCCAACTTTCTCCAATCCAGTAGCAGACCTCCAATACAGCACACCAAAGCATCATTCCAATAATTGCAAAAAGGCCAAAATACAACAGCAGACTTAAGCCTATTCCTTGATCCCATATAGCAGCAGCAGAGCACATATATAGCAGAGCAGAGCAAATTATAACCTATTCCTGAAACAACATCGGATCCTAAACTAAGAAATCAACAAACACACCTAGATCCCAGACAACAAAATTGATACACAATAACACCATCTGGACAATAACAAAACCAATACCAACTACTGCAGCTTCACTCCACACCATAACATCAACCACAATTCCACCTCACCATCTACTACTATGACACCAGTAACAGCCCAACAATTGGACCCAGCTGCACTTTTAACCCAAACACTGTCTAACTTGATGTAAGTTAATCACTATATCTTGAACAGAGTACTGCATCCCTACAATATTGCTATAAGCCCAGAAAGCTATCCTGGACTTCACAAGATCTACTAGCTCAACAAAATTAGGAGGTCTTCCAGAGAACACCTTCTCATTCCTTAGCTTCCACACTGACCACAACATTACAATAGGCACCAAGTTCCATAGTTTCCTCTCATTCTTCTTGAGTTTCACCCCAACCCACCATTGTAACAGATCTTCAACTGTACATGGAATCACCCAACACATACCCCACCAGTTTACTAAATCAGACCATACCCTCCAAACCAATGGACAATGAAGTAAAACATGACTAATTGATTCAATTGCATTACTACAAAGAGGACACAAGACACTAACCTGATCATCCAACACCCCAATCTTATGTAAAAACTCAGAAGTCTTTACTCTTCCCCTCCAGGCTAACCACCCAAAGAATTGCATTTTTGGCGGAGTCACAGTTTTCCACAGCCTTTTACCAATACACAAATCTGGTCCCCTATCAGCTTGAAACCACTTCCGCACAGATGACACTGTGAATTGGCTTGAAGAATTTACACCCCAATGTAAGCAATCTACCAGATTCCCATTCTCGACATAGCCATCATTCAACCAATCCCTCAACCTTCTTACCTCTTCTTCTTCCCAAGCTCTTAACTATCTTCGAAACCTTAAACTCCATTGCCCTGACCCTTCTCCTTGCTACCTATACTGCATGACTGAACCCTCCTTATCCAAGATAACTCAAACAATCTTGGGAATTCCTCCCTTAGCACTCTATTGTTGCACCACTTATCAATCTAGAATTTAATCCTTTCCCCATTCCCATTCTTTACTTTTGCGTTTTCCAAATAGAATTCTATTTCTATTGGAAATTTCTCTTAGTTATTGAACATAATGTTGATATTGAAAGTTGTATAATGATCAATTTGTGTTGTGTTTAGATTATAGATTTGTTAAGTGATTTGTCAAGAGAAAATAAAAATAAAATAAAGAATCACTTTTTCCTTCCTTTTTCATTGTTCTTTTTGCTTTTTCCTTCGAAATCGAAGTTACCAATATTTTAGTTTTGTGTAGAGAAAAAAAAAATAGAAAAAAAGTGGATGAAACAAAATTTTGTATTTTTATCTTTTTTACAATTATCTTCCATTTTTTTTTTCCTCCACAAGTTCAAAATTCAAATAAGTTTTAAAATTAATGATTACATGCCTTGCAGCTTCCAAACTAAATCTTACAAATGAAATCCATGGTTACATTAACCCTAAGGAGTTGGTCAAGTAATAAATATTTGAGAATAAGATATAAGGTTTTGAGTTCGAATCATTCCAAGGGGTTACAAAAGATTTGTCAATCGTTAACTTCTAGAATTAGTTAAGGTGTATGTAGATTGACCTAGGTACACCTAGTTATTAAAAAAAAAAAAATCATGGCTACATGAGTAAAAACCAGGCTTTTTAGGTGAAATTTGTAGCAAGAAACCATGATGAACAAGTAATTTCTTAAACTAATTAATTTGAAGAAAAGTTTGATGTTTGAGTTTTCTTGGTTTGATGTCAATATCAAGGCTTTCTAGGTGAAATTTGTAGCAAGAAACCATGATGAACAAGTAATTTCTTAAACTAATTAATTTGAAGAAAAGTTTGATTATTAGGAATTGGAGTGGGATGTTAGAACCATGATAACATTCAATATCGAGATCCCCATCTAATCTTTTACATATGGTGGTGAAAAAATGAAAAAATCTCTGTATTTTATTTAGGAAGTGGAGCTTAGAAGGGAGTGTGAAACTTATTTTCTATCCTCCCATCTCATAAACAAAATTGAGCCCTAATTATATTAAGGAAAAATTATACTTGTGGTCTTTGGAGTTGGTCTCTTTTGTTATTTTAGTTCTTATAATTTAAATTATCTCAAATTTGTCTTTTAATTTTTACATTATGATAAGTTAATCTCATTGAAAAGATCTCTCAAGATATCGGATAAAAATTAAAGGCAAAATAGTTAGTTGTCAATCTCTCAATCACTTTGAAAAGAATGAATGAAATTTTTTACCCATTGATTTTAGCTTAATTTTTATAGAGGCATAATCAATTAAGAATAAAAAATTAACTTGATATAATGTAACAAAAAATTAAGAATAAAAATAATGGAATTAGAATTATAAGATCAAATTAATACAAGAAATTTCTTTTTTTTTTTTTTTTTAAATAGTGATATAATTTGCCCAAATATTAAAACACCTAATGTATCTAGAAGAGATGGGTTGAAAGGCTCATAAGTTTAAAAGTAACGTGGAATTGGTATTCAAAATTGAAGACAACCCTCACTAACATGACAGATATAAGATTTACCAATGATCTGTTGGTTTAGTGATAAGGACTTTATCTACCTCGCTTAACGTCTGGGTTCAAGTCTCCCCCATAACGGAATATTGGGATTCCACCTACTTAATATTTAGAGTATGTTAAAACCTTAGTTTCGACCCAACATAGGTGTAATATTAGTTTTGACAGATATTTGTGGGTATTAAGGGGCAATGGTCCTTGACAGATGTGTGGAGTAGCCTATCTGCACATTCATTTTTAATACCAAAAAAAAAAATAAATAAATAAAATTTACAGATAAGATTTTTATTTTTATTTTTATGTTTAAACCATTTCTTAAAAATAATTTGTTGTCAAACAGGAAAAATCCTTTGTGATACATAATGCTTACGTAAATGTGACACAATGCTCGGGTAACTGTGACGGTGAGAAACATTAATCATATGAACAAACTTCTTCCTTTTTTTTTTATATTTTATTTTATTTTTTTTTTAAATTACAAATTCACTTCTTAAATTTGTTTAAAATACAAGTTGTTCTTTGTGATCTTGAAAATTTTAAATATTTCATTATCAGAATTTTTCATTTAACAAAATTAATAGAAAAATTAAAATGCCTAACCACTTTCCTATTCAACAATAAAATTATCAGAATTGCTGATTAAAATATATTTATGACATTATTAAAAAGTGTTAACTGACTTAATGATTTAAAGTTATTTGGCATGATTGATATAAGTGCACTTTTGGCTTACATCACTTTTCTAATTTTCTGCATATCTTTTTGTAAAAAGTCAAATAGTATACTTATTTAGATCATCCAAAATTACATATTTGGTTTATGTAATCCTATTCACATTAATTTTACCCTTTAGTTTTTTTTATATTGTGTCAATTTATTTCAATTAACAATGTTATTTTAAAATTGAATTCAATTTATTTCAATTAACAATGTTATTTTAAAATTGAATTCAAATCAAGGGAGAAACTAATCCATTCATTCTCATCATAGTGATTGGGAGAGTCATTCTATTTACACCACAAACACATCTCTCTAAACCTCACATTTTTCATTTTTAATTATAATTTTTAAAATTAACAAAAAAATATTCAAATTCAAAAAAATTCAAAACCATAATTTCCCACTCCTCCATTACTTCCTCACCTTCCGCACCAATCCATCAGCACCATTGTCCCTTATTGCGGCCTTATCAGTAACAACCGCCATCCCAACTTCTCTCATCCCTTTTTCTACAACCCATACCCCTCTTTCATACTCTTATTCTTCTTCTCTAAACCCTAGATTTACCACCACTTACCACTATATGGTTTCTTGCCTCTGCCGCTCTTTTCCCCACCTCCTCTCCTATTTTTTCTCATTATTCTTTCTTAAACCCTAGAAATCAAAATGTTATTCTTCTATCTCTTTTTCTAGTGGTGAGGTTGGCAAGAAAGGTCGCGGTGGTGGTTGAAGAAGGGATTATAGTAGGGAAACGAGGTTGGGAAAGTGGGATCGTTGTAAGGTAAGGGGGTTGAGATAGGGGAACTGGAAGAGGTCACTAGTGAGAGAAGAGGTGGCGGTAGTGGCATAGATACAATAAGAAGCCTTCATTAATCAGAGTTAATATACAAAAGATGATACATGCGATATACATTCATAAATCGTTCATCCTAAATCTACAACAAGTGTTACAAAAAGTAATAAGGAATGAAAGCGAAACAACTATTCATACACCCTAATGGCTTACACCTTTCCAAGACCGTGCTTGATTACAACAAAATGAGTCATAAACTTAATACAAATAAAGTCCTAGGCTTGTAAAAGAGTAAATACAAAATAAACAAAAATTGAGCTTTTAGCTCTACAATCCTCAAAAGCTAAGTCCTTGGCGGTGGCATATCACCTGCACCTGAAAATAGTTTTTCCCAAATAGGGTGAGCCAAAATCCAGCATGAACAATCTAACGAATCTTAACAAAGATATAAGTATACTGTGCATATACAATGCTTATGATAAAAACATTCATATTCTACGAGATCATAATATGCCAAGTTTTATATCTCAATTTATTTTATCTTAATTCATTTCAAGTCAATTCATTTCACCTCAATTCATGAGTCAAATTCATTGTTATCTAGACAACCCAACTGAGACTACAATTCAGTGGTTCTTTAATCAATACAATCATTACACAAACACTTCAATTTGTCATTTTATGGAAATTTTGTCTGCGGGAATCAACACATATGTATACGCGCGATTTTCGAGACTTTTACCTTGGACACATAGGCCAACTTAATTAAATGGAGTATATCCCCTTTCTTCTCTCAAACATGGAGTACGTCCCATTTCGCCTTCCAATATCATACATATACAATGTATTAAAACATAGTTATATTTAATGACAACAGTTAAGAGATTAGTTTCAATTCACCTAATCCTTATGTACTTCATACAACAATCATAGTTGTCCTCAACAGATAGTCTAAAACAGATATTTCTAAACAAATATACAATTTTCAAAATAGATAAATTATCCAAATTTTCATAAGTGAGAGATAATACACATCTAACTCCACCGTTTATATAAACATACATTTAATTTTATATTCTCAATACCAATTTCATTATTTACACAAAATAATGATTTGAAACATTTTAGGGCAAAACTCCATTTTCTTCCAAATCCTACCCATGTGTCAAAATTAACAAATTTAACATAACACATCCTCATATCTACACCTACAACCATTTTCAATACCTTCATTTGAAAACTCCTCTTTTGATTTTAAACCAAAACCCTAGGTTTGTCTAAAATACTCAAAATTCCGCCATTATTTACACAACAACAAATAACTAAGTTAAAAATCATAGAATAGTGTAGAAAGTCCCTACCTCAAAGCCAAAAGTCGAGCAAAGCAAGGAGGAAACTTCAAAGATGCTCAAACACGACTTTGTTTCGATAGAAATGTAACCCTTAAGATGCTCTACCTTTTTATCAAACAAAGTAGAGTAGAGAAACTACTAGATCTAGGTGAAAATGTAGATAGAAGGTAGGTTTTAAAGAGAGAGGGTTCCAATCTAGGGTTTTGAGAGAAAAATGTATGAAAAAGAAATGTAAAAAGTTACTTTTACGAACTGATATATGCACAGTTCGCTTGAGCGTGAGAAGTAACGCTCAAGCGCTAGACACAATAAGTTATTTCGTTTGAGCGCAAGAAGTGACACTCAAGCACAGAATGCACACTTCCAATAGTTTTGCAGACAATAGACCATAGCTCGAGCGCTTACTCGCTTGAGCATAAGAAACACTACTCGAGCTTAGAATACGCTCTCCCAGTAATTTTGCAGACTTATA